GTGTGTGTGTGTGTGTGTGTGTGTGTGTGTGTGTATGTGTTAGCCTAGCAGACAGATAAAGCTTTGTCAGGCTAAGTACCGTAGTGGGGCTTCCCAAAGAGGAGCAACACCAACAGCTGTTATCAATTCATGTCTCTCTTCCCTTTCTTCTTTTCTCCTTTTTTTTCTCTTACTTCTTCTCCTGTGAAGGATTGAGGTGTCTGCGGGGGGATTTAGCTATGTGACAAGAGGGAAGGGATGAACAGAGCGAGAAAATAGAGGAGAGACAGGCTCTAAACTCGAGTTTTTAAGTTGAATTTGTTAAAAGGCACACTAGGGAGAAGAACAGAGTACCTCTTCACAACCACTCTCTCTCTCTCTCTCTCTCTATCTCTATCTCTCTCTCTCTCTCTCTCTCTCTCTCTCTCTATCTCTCTCTCTCTCTCTCTCTCTCTCTCTCTCTCTCTCTCTCTCTCTCTCTCTCTCTCTCTCTCTCTCTCTCCCTCCAACATACACACACTCATTTTAAAGGGGCAATCCGCAGTTGAAACAATAACAAAGCGCCTTCCCTGATATTGTTTTGGTAGGAAGCTGAGGGATGAGCTGGAGAAATGCAGCCACTCTAAAAGTCATAGATAGCTATGGATGCAAGGACTAAAATTATAATTGTGACCATGTTTTGAGGGTATACAGTGTTTGTTTAGATTTACTTTGTATACAAACATTGGACAAGCTTATATTTTAGTTTTGATGGGGTAAGACAGTTGAACTAAGCTAAGATATATTCTTTAAGAATCAATGGGTAATACATATTAAAGTCCAAAAATGTATGAAGCAACTGCAGATTGCCCCATTAAGAGTCTAATAGGTGTATCATTTAGTTACAGTTGAAGTCTGAAGTTTACATACACTTAGGTTGGAGTCATTAAAACTAGTTTTTCAACCACTCCACAAATTTCTTGTTAACAAACTATAGTTTTGGCAAGTCGGTTAGGAGATCTATTTTGTGCATGACACAAGTAATTTTTCCAACAATTGTTTACAGACAGATTATTTAATTTATAATTCACTGTATCACAATTCCAGTGGGTCAGAAGTTTACATACACTAAGTTGACTGTGCCTTTAAACAGCTTGGAAAATTGGAGGTGTACCTGTGGATGTATTTCAAGGCCTACCTTCGAACTCAGTGCCTCTTCCCTTGACATCATGGGAAAATCAAAAGAAATCAGCCAAGACCTCAGAAAAAAAATTGTAGACCTCCACAAGTCTGGGTCATTCTTGGGAGCAATTTCCAAACGCCTGAAGGTACCACGTTCATCTGTACAAACAATAGTACGCAAGTAGAAACACCATGGAACCACGCAGTCGTCATACCACTCAGGAAGGAGACGCGTTCTGTCTCCTAGAGATGAACGTACTTTGGTGCAAATCAATCCCAGAACAACAGCAAAGGACCTTGTGAAGATGCTGGAGGAAACAGGTACAGAAGTATCTATATCCACAGTAAAACAAGTCCTATATCGACATAACCTGAAAGCCGCTCAGCAAGGAAGAAGCCACTGCTCCAAAACCCCCATAAAAAAGCCAGACTACGGTTTGCAACTGCACATGGGGACAAAGATCATACTTTTTGGAGAAATGTCCTCTGGTCTGATGAAACAAAAATAGAACTGTTTGGCCATAATGACCATCGTTATGTTTGGAGGAAAAAGGGGGTTGCTTGCAAGCCGAAGAACATCATCCCAACCGTGAAGCATGGGGGTGGCAGCATCATGCCGTGGGGGTGCTTTGCTGCAGGAGGGACTGGTGCACTTCACAAAATAGATGGCATCATGAGGAAGGAAAATTATGTGGATATATTGAAGCAACATTTCAAGACATCAGTCAGGATGTTAAAGCTTGGTCGCAAATGGGTCTTCCAAATGGACAATGACCCCAAGCATACTTCCAAAGATTTGGCAAAATGGCTTAAGGACAACAAAGTCAAGGTATTGGAGTGGCAATCACAAAGCCCTGACCTCAATCCTATAGAATATTTGTGGGCAGAACTGAAAAAGTGTGTGCGGGCAAGGAGGCCTACAAACCTGACTCAGTTACAACAGCTCTGTCAGGAGGAATGGGCCAAAATTCACCAAATTTATTGTGGGAAGCTTGTGGAAGGCTACCCAAAATATTTGACCCAAGTTAAACAATTGAAAGGCAATGCTACCAAATACTAATTGAGTGTATGTACACTTCTGACCCACTGGTAATGTGATGAAAGAAATAAAAGCTGAAATAAATAATTCTCTCTACTATTATTCGGACATTTCACATTCTTAAGATAAAGTGGTGATCCTAACTGACCTAAAACAGGGAATTATTACTAGGATTAAATGTCAGGAATTGTGAAAAACTGAGTTTAAATGTATTTGGCTAAGGTGTATGTAAACTTCCGACTTCAACTGTAGATGTTCTATTATTTTTATCAAAGGCCTCTAATTATATTGCTCTCAATAGAAAAAGTTGAAAATAATGTTTCAAACATGTTCATTACAAAAGACCTTTAAGGTGATTGATACAAAAGACCCAGATTGAATTGAGCACCTGGAAGTGTATATGAGCGCCCGTGTACGCATGCACACACACACACACACACACACACACACACACACACACACACACAACGCCACACATACACCCAGTGTTTGATGAGATATTAGAAATGCAGGAATAAATGAAGATTTAATTTCCAAATTGCTATATCCCAAAAATAAATCACATTTGTGTTTTTTTCATCAGAAATGATTGCTTATGGGTACCTTCATGTGTGTGTAAAATATTACTGTTCTCAGATTTTTTATTCATAGACTTTAGATGTGTTTGAACATTTTGTAAAACGCTATATAGCCATTGTTTAGCTGGAACTGAATTTTCGTGTCCTGTATATTTGACTGTGATATGTGGTTGTCTCACCTAGCTATTTTAAGATGAATGCACTTACTGTACGTTTCTCTTGATAATAGCATCTGCTAAATGACTAAAATGTCAAATGTAAATGTTTTACATACAGATCTCATATTACTGTATTTAATTATTATTTGTAAAAAATATATATTGATGTCGCAAATGTATCATTTGCACAGTTCTTTATTTAAAATGTAATTACATTTGACTGTGTAAAACCTAGCAGTACTATTTATTTCTCTGAAGGTGAGGCGGATATATAGCATTTTGCAAAAAAAAACATGATTATTTGTCTTTCTGAAGTGAAACTATCAAGTGATAGATTTGAAACAAATATGTGTCTGTCATTGAACAACCCCATGCCATGATTAGATAGTGAAAAAACACAATCTCTTTAAACAATTAAAGCTAATTTACCAACATTTCTGAAAATGGATATCTTGTATAGCGTTTTTGAATGAAACTATGTGTGCCACTAAGGTGAGACAGAGAGATGTTTCAGAGATTATCATTGCTTTTGCTTACTCATCCCCTCTCTATACTGTGTCTCGGATTATAATATTCATAGCATTTTATAGTTGGGATTTTATCACAACAGAATAGAAGATCTATATCCGTATATTGTGTCCTTTATTAGAAATAAAGAGAATAGCAATCTTCTCCTATCTCATATAGTCTCATATTGTGTGTTATTGTGCTGTTCCCAGATATTATGCATATCTTTCTGCTCTACAGAGCGGGGCATCTGAATAAAACAATATTACAGCTCTTATTACAGACCAGTGACCCCCCCACCTCATAGACACACACACACACACACAAACACACATTTAAAGAGATATGAACCAGGCAGCAGACTGGCATTGGGACTGGTGTGTGTAGTTGTCTTATACTGATATCTCCTGTGTGTGTCTCTGTCTCTCCAGAGGGGACCCCTTATACGTGGTGGGTGGGTAGGAGCAGTGAGAAACATTTCTACTGGGGAGGATCAGGGCCGGGGATACAGAAGTGTTCCTGTGGTATCGACAGGAACTGTACTGACCCCAAATATGACTGTAACTGTGACGCTGACCACAAACAATGGTGAGTACATGGGTTGGCGTGGGGTGGGGGGACTGTGTGTGTTTATTTAACCTTTTTTTTATCCAGGTTAGTCTCATTGAGATCAAATCTATTTTTCAAGAGGGACCTGGTCCAACCAAAACCGCAGCAGGGGCGAACAATGTTTGGGACAAATAACAGACATACAGTACTGTAACAACTTACATTTGCATGCGTGCGTGTGTAGACATGTTTAACTATACTTGTGGGGACCAGAAGTCCCCACAAGACTTACAGATAGAAACAACAGGGTTAGTGTATAAAAGGCTGTGTGTTGAAGCAGTGAGCGATGTCCCCCCTCTCCTCCAATAATAACAAACGTTGTGTTTCTGAACCCTTTAAAACACCTGATGGATGTTCTCATTAGAATAACGTATGGCTGCTAGTTACTCTTTCTCCTTCTCCCTCTGTCCTTTTCTGAATTACTCTCTCCTTCTCTCTTCTCCTGTCTCTCTTCCTCCCCCTCCCTCTCCCTCTCTCCCCTCTCTCTTCACAACACCCTCTCTCTCTTTCTTTCTCTTGTTACGATAACAGATGAGTGTTATTCCTTCTCTCCCTCTTTCCATTAATATTGTGTGTATTAATGTTTTTTTCTCCGGTTGAGTGAGTACGTGATCTATAGTACACACATCTCTATTTCCCCTCATTACACATAGAGTTGGCATGACACACACACACACTCACACACACTCACACACACACACACTCTTGGTTCCCATTGTGTCCTCCATATATTAGTTATCAAAAAAGGCAGAGAACAACAAACATATAATAAGGACAAATACAGGCTGCTTCAGAACAAATACCATTTATTTAAAACTTTAACACTTTACAGGTTTTTCCCCCTCTGTCTCTTTCCCGTTTCTTCATTCCACAGTATTTGTTATCTTTCTGCAAGAATAATAATATAGAAACATACTATCTCCTCCTTTTCCTCTCTTCCTTCATCTGTTCTTTCTTCTCCTTCCCAGGAGAGAGGACAGTGGTCTGTTGGTGTATAAGGACCATTTGCCAGTCAGTCAGGTTGCCGTGGGTGACACCAACAGGCTGGGTTCAGAGGCAAAGCTCACAGTCGGGCCGCTCCGTTGTCAAGGAGACCGTGAGTTCCACCCCTCAAGCTGTTATTAGTTTTTTTCAGTCACTTTGGAGCAATTTTCAAAAGTATGTGGTACATTTTCACAATGCTTAGTACAAAACTCGAAACAGATAATCAAAAAGGCAGTTGTTTCAAAACTCTAAGCACATTTTCAATTGATTAAGTACAGCACACAAAATCATAGTCACTTTTTCACCAAACTTAATCAGTGTATAATCTAGAAATACATGTTTCACATTGCAATACTGTATACAGTCCATTTGTGAACTATTCAGACTCCTTGACTTTTTCCATTATTTTTTTTTCTCCACATTTTGTTACGTTACAGCCTTATTCTAAAATGTAATAAATCATTTTTTTACCTCATCAATCTACACACAATACCCATAATGACAAACCAAATACAGGTTTTTAGAAATCTTTGCAAATAAAATAACAAATACAAAACTGAAATATCACATTTACATAAGTATTCAGACCCTTTAGTCAGTACTTTGTTGAAGCACCTTTGGCAGTGATTACAGCCTCGAGTCTTCATGGGTATGACGCTACAAGCTTGGCACACCTGTATTTGGGGAGTTTCTCCTGCGTTGTCTTGGCTGTGTGCTTAGGGTCGTTGTCCTGTTGGAAGGTGAACCTTCGCCCCAGTCTGAGGTCCTGAGCACTCTGGAGCAGGTTTTCATCAAGGATCGCGCTGTACTTTGCTCCGTTCATCTTTCCCTCGATCCTGACTAGTATCCCAGTCCTTGCCGCTGAAAAACATCCCCACAGCATGATGCTGCTACCACCATGCTTTACCGTAGGGATGGTGCCAGATTTCCTCCAGATGTGACGATTGACATTCAGGCCAAAGAGTTCAATCTTGGTTTCATCAAACCAGAGAATCTTGTTTCGAATGGTCTGAGAGTCCTTTAGGTGCCTTTTGGCAAACTCCAAGCGGGCTGTCATGTGTATTTTACTGAGGAGTGGCTTCCGTCTGGCCACTCTACCATAAAGGCCTGATTGGTGGAGTGCTGCAGAGATGGTTGTTCTTCCGGAAGTTTCTCCGATCTCCACAGAGGCACTCTGGAGCTCTGTCAGAGTGACCATCGGGTTCTTGGTCACCACCAAGGCCCCTCTCCCCCAATTGCTGAGTTTGGCCGGTCAGCCAGCTCTAGGAAGAGTCTTGGTGGTTCCAAACTTCGTCCATTTAAGAATGATGGAGGCTACTGTGTTCTTGGGGACCTTCAATGCTACAGACATTTTTTGGTACCCTTCCCCAGATCTGTGCCTCTACACAATCCTGTCTCGGAGCTTTACGGACAATTCCTTCGACCTCAGGGCTTGGTTTTTGCTCTGACATGCACTGTCAACTGTGGGACCTTATATAGACAGGTGTGTGCCTTTCCAAATCATGTCCAATTAATTGAATATACCACAGGTGGACTCCAATCAAGTTGTAGAAACATCTCAAGGATTATCAATGGAAATAGGATGCACCTGAGCTCAATTTCGAGTCTCATAGCGAAGGGTCTGAATACTTATGTAAATAAGGTATTTCTGTTTTTACTTTTTATAAAATTTGCAAAAATTCAAAAAAACTATTTTCCCTTTGTCATTATGGGGTATTGTGTGTAGATTGATGAGGAAAAATATGAATTTAATCCATTTTAGTATAAGGCTGTAACGTAATAAAATGTGGAAAAAGTCTGAATACTTTCCGAAGGCACTGAATGTAAAGTAATTGCTTTTCACAATGCAGTGCTCACATTAATGTCTTCTCATTTGTTAAAATACATTTGACTATTAATTAATCCACCTGGTCTTAATTGATAATCACGTAACCATTTGGTAAACCTATAGATTTTAAACTGGTTTGTCTATAACAGATTTTGAGAACTACATACAGTTCTCATCGACATCGCAGTAAATTGTTCATGCACCTGAGGAAAAACCTTTTGGCATGGCGAATCCAAGCCAGACATAAGTCTGGATTGAAATCATTGCATACCTCATCCATGGCCTTAATATGGGTGGTACGCTCATGGGGATGGCAATCATACAACTTCCACCTGTATTGTAATCGTGTATTGTATTTTACAGTATTGTATGTATGTATTGAAGTGGTTCTGTACGTGGCTCAGTTCATAAGAGCATGGCAATAGCAATACCAGAGTTGTTGGTTCAATTCCCACTGGGATCACATACCAAAATGTCTGGACTGTTGTCACTTTGGATAAAAGTGTCTGCTACTGTACGTAAAAGCCATATATTACGGTATTACAGTATTGTATTGGCCAATGCAATTTTAGTAAAGCAGTGTGAACGCCATACCCCCCCCCCCCCCCCCCCCCCCGTACTGTATGATTAGTTACAAACAGTACATTCCTAATCTTGTCAATATCTGATTTATTTTTTACTTAATGTGAAGTAAAATCATAATAGTCATCATCATAGTAGTACATTTGAGTATATATCATACGTTTTATGTTTCTACTTTACAGAGAAAAAAAAAACATTATGTAGTTCTCAAAATCTGTAGCAGACAATCCAGTTTACATGTAAAATCTATAGGTTTACCAAACCTTTAAGTGATCATCAATTAAAAGCAGTCTGATTAAGTAATATTAAATTGTCTTTTAACAAAAGAGAAAATAATCATATCAAAAGTAATGTGAGAATTGCATTGTGAAAGGCAATGACTTTATATGAACATGTATTGCAATGTGAAACATGTACAGTACCAGTCAAAAGTTTGGACACACCTACTCATTCAAGGGTTTTTCTTTATTTTTACTATTTTCTACATTGTACAATAATAGTGAAGACATCAAAACTATGGAATAACACATATGGAATCATGTAGTAACCAAAAAAGTGTTAAACAAATGAAAATATATTTTATATTTGAGATTCTTCAAAGTAGCCACCCTTTGCCTTGATAACAGCTTTGCACACTCTTGACATTCTCTCAACCAGCTTCATGAGGAATGCTTTTCCAACATTCTTGAAGGAGTTCCCACATATGCTAAGCCCTTGTTGGCTGCTTTTCCTTCACTCTGCGGTCCAATTCATCCCAAACCATCTCAATTGATGCAGCACTCCATCACTCTCCTTGGTCAAAAAGCCCTTACACAGCCTGGAGGTGTGTTTTGGGTCATTGTCCTGTTGAAAAACAAATGATAGTCCCACTAAGCGGAAACCAGATGGGACGGCGTATCGCTGCAGAATGCTGTGGTAGCCATGCTGGTTAAGTGTGCCTTCATGTCTTAAAGTAATGATGACTGTTGTTTCTCTGTAAGGGTTGAGGTGAGGTGTGACCCAGGTGCGGTGCAGGATATACAGTAGACAGTAGGCAGAGATGGTGAAACAAGGATCTTTACTGGTGGTCCCGAAGCCAGAATACAAAATAACGGACTTAACACGATAAAAGAAAGGCAGAGCAAATAAGTCTCCAAAAACCGGCTGACAGACAAAAAAAGAAATACTACCTACGACTGAAACAAATAAAGAAACAGGGAGAACACTTCTCAAGTACCTGTACATTGGTCTCCGATCAGACAATGAGTAGTACTGCTGGACATAGAGAAACAACAGAGAAAACTGAGCAAGGGAACACAGGGAAGTGAGGGCATAAATACACAGGTGAACAGGTAGACACAGGTGACACCAATAGGATACTGATTAGTCCAGACTGTGAGTGAGGAGGTGCCTAAGGTTGTCGGAGGATGACACCTATTGCAAAGAGAATGTTACAGGAGGGGGTCGCAGTTCAGGAGCGACCCCCTCCTGTAACATTCTCTTTGCTTATTTGAGCTGTTCTTGCCATAATATGGACTTGGTCTTTTACCAAATAGGGCTACCTTCTGTATACCACCCCTACCTTGTCACAACACAACTGATTGGCTCAAACACATTAAGAAGGAAAGAAATTCCACAAATTCACTTTTAACAAGGCACACCTGTTAATTGAAATGCATTCTAGGTGACTACCTCATGAAGCTGGTTGAGAGAATGCCAAGAGTGTGCAAAGCTGTCATCAAGGCAAAGGGTGGCTACTTTGAAGAATCTCAAATATAAAATATATTTTCATTTGTTTAACACTTTTTTGGTTACTACATGATTCCATATGTGTTATTTCATAGTTTTGATGTCTTCACTATTATTCTACAATGTAGAAAATGGTAAAAATAAAGAAAAACCCTTGAATGAGTAGATGTGTCCAAACTTTTGACTGGTACTGTATTTCTAGATGAAACACTGATTATGGTAATTCCGTGTGTGTGGGCACGCGTGCGTGTAAAAATGAGTGTAAACGTGCTCATACACACACACCCACGTACTCAATTCAACGTAGGTCTTTTGTGTCAATCACCTTAAGGGTGTTTTTCAATCTTTTAAACTTTTTCTCTTCAGAGCAATACAATTAGAGGCCTTTCATAAAAGGAATAGAAAATCAAACTAAATTATACAAACTTAAAAGGAGAAAGGAATGGAAGAATGAAGGAAAGAAAGAAAGGATAAAACGTTTCCGACCCTTTCAAACGCTATCATTACCATGTCCACATGATGTAGGGACAAAGGACACGACCTTCAATCATAGCTGGAAGAGTGTGTGAGTGTGTGTGTGTGTGTGCAGGGCCGGCCCGCTCATTAGACAGGATTAGGCGTCTTCCTATGGCGGCAGATTGACGAGGGCAGCATTTTCTGAACTAAACTGACCAAGACGCACCTCCAACAACACATAAAACCTCACATAATTAATTCTGTCCAAAAACAATGACATTTTCTCCCAACCAGTGGCATATGGGCTTTTTAGGTGAGAGCTGATGCCGCCCTATGATAAGCAGTGCCCACTTTGTCAAAGGCAGGGACTCCAAATATTTATCTTGTCCATTCCGAGCGCACCTCTCCAGGGTGCTGTTGGAGAGACGCACCACTGCGGCGCTCCACCAACGTTCCGTCCAAAGAATTATCTAACATAAATCATAGAGCTGATATAGGATATGGTAGAAAGAGTATGTGGCCTTTCCTAAGCCTACAGGCTGGAGGTAAAATGTATGACAATGCAATGAGACGGACCCTTTTTACATCATGCAGGTTTCTCCGATCAAACAGCCTGACAAATGCACTGACATGTTAACAAATAACATAACCTAAAAACATGTCAGGCCAAAGTAAAATGGACAGGAGTTTTACCCTGTCATGACTTGCCCTCATGGGCTGAGGATCAAAGATGCTGGCTAGGCAAAGGTTTGAACACCCCCTCTCCTGGGGGCCAGTTTTATGACCGGTTGTAAATTCCTTGAAGAAACTTTATTTTCTGTGCCATGCAGTATTGGGAGAGGGAATTTCCCTGTGGAACAAAGGAAGTCTTCCCGCCAAGATTCCAACATCCAAAAGTGAATAATGAAACAATATTCCTACTTCAAAGAATGTGGGAAATGGTCAGTGGGGACTTAAAAAACAATAATGTCAAATTCGTTACTATGTTGTGTCGTCATTAAAGACGGTGGAACAACATAACTGTATATTTGGGGGTGTGCTCTTCCCAGTTATGAGGTTTGCATCTAATTGTTGCATAAAACAAATTATTAAGTATAATAATAATTTTGTGAAGACAACAATGTGATTTTAGTATTCTAGATGAGATGATTGTTTTCCATATTGATTTGTTCTCAGTCAGTGGCCACGCACAGATGAGCACAAACATGATGGAACGCCCCTTTTATCCCGAGGGCATAAAAAGCCTTGAAAAACAAATTAACATTAGACCAAGCAGATTATGGTGTAAACCGGATGTTGCAAATGGTTGAATCTCTACCAGACCAGCAGACGTGAAGCGTGAGCTAAACGTTACAAAATGGTTAGACCAGAAAGACCAGAAAACAGGAGACGTTAGTCCACACGTTTGAAATGGTGAGAAACTCTGAAACTCTCATCCTCTACACGAGGTGAAGAAGAAGACAACGCACTAGACCTTAGCATTACCAGTCTGCAGCTGGCATGTATAGTCGTCTAGAGAACTTTCACTAAAGACATGAGTTGGGAAGGACAATCCCTCTCAGACAACCGTTGGTACTTCTGAAGTATTAATTCTTAACAGATCAACTCTACGAACTACAGGGTATGCTGAAATATCCATTCTAACCAACACTATGACCAAAAACTCTACCAAGGACATTGGGATCTCTGGTGGGCAAGCCAGAGTCCTACATCATCAGCTCAACTATCAAGGACAGCTACACGTAAATACATGTTGCATTTCTAATCCGAATGAGCGGGTGCTAAGCATTTGTATTTCCGTGAGCGTAGTTAAGAAACGTCCGATAGGTGAATTCCTTTGTCTCTTCCTCCCCCCCTCTCTCTGAATCCACCATCGTGTTATAACCAAACTGTCCTGTTTTGTTAGTCCGCTAGACTGTATTTACTGTATAATGTTAGTGTTTTATGTATTCTGGAATTGTTATTGAGTTAGTTAGTAAATAAATAATTGAGCCAATGTGTGTATTGCTGATTCATCAATAAGGTTAGGGTTCTTGCAGGTTCAAGGATTATGCGACGTTCAGAATGAGACTGATAAGAGGTAATTATTTAATAAGTGACTGTTATCGATATATAACATATATATCTTCTAAGAGTTTAATTCGGGAGATGGTAACTCGTTAAACAACTTCTTCCGTGGTGCCCCAAATTCCTAATGAGTTAATTGTTAGATTAATTTAATTGAGTGACAATTAAACATAGTTAGTTGATTCGATAAATAACAGTCGCCATATTAATGAAAGTCACGTCACGACAACCCAATGTCATGATCAGTGGTTTCAATTTTGTACATCCCTGCTGTAGACTATACCTCAGTAAGCACGGACCGATGCTGACGCTTTTTGGACGTCTTTTTTTTTTGTGCAGTCCAGACCGGCATTGATTTCCATGTCCACGGACGTTGATTTTTGGTCCGGTCTGGACCAAATCTGAACCAATCATAGACGTCTATGTTTGGTTCAGATTTAGTCCGGTCTGGACAAGCCTTGATTTGGCACAAACATAGACGTCTATAAATTACATATTTTCCTTCAGAACAGAAGATTAACCTGATATCAACGTCCAGAAAATACATATTTTTGTCTTTGATTCAGAACCTAAATTGAACTTAACTTCAATGTCTGGGAAAATACATATTTTAGACATCTTTTCAATGTCATTTTGCTTACTGGGACTATTATTGTAGGGCCTGCCATTCTTTTTGTCTCGCCTAGGGTGGCAGAACGGCCAGGACCTGTGTGTGTGAGTCTCTTGCATCGAGTCCCAAGTTAATCCTATTCTGTAGCCATGTCTGCCTCTGGGTAATGGTTATTAAATAGCAAAGACTTCAAATAATAAAAAAGGGCCCAGTAGGTGGCAAGTGTGCGTGCGTGTGCGTGTGTGTGCGTGTACGTGTGTGTGTGCGTGTGTGTGTGCTTGCGTGTGCTTGTGCATGTGCGTGCGGCTTCTGGGACAGTGTGATAAGCCCTCCTTTGTAAAAGCACTGGACTCCTACTCTTGCCAAGCATCCCATCCCAGAGCAGAGAGGCTTAGAGAGAGCGGGGGAAACAGAGAGGGATAGAGGGAAAGAGAGAAAGAGATTTAAAAAAGAGGGGGAGAGAGATAGAGAAGGGGTGAGGGAGGGGCAGATTTAATGTTATTCAGGGCATGGCTGGAAGTGACAGATGCATCTGCCATCCCACACACACACACTCACACATACAAATAACCACACAGTCTCGTAAGTGTCTCTGTGTGAATGAAGTCTTTAGATTGAAGCTTTACACAGATCTCACTGAACAGATAACAACATACAATACATGCTGCCTCACTCTTTCAATTCAATTCAATTCAATTTAAGGGCTTTATTGGCATATGAAACATATGTTAACATTGTCAAAGCAAGTGAAATAGATAACAAACAAAAGTGAAATAAACAATCAAAATTAAAAGCAAAATGTACCCTCACAAAAGTTCCAAAAGAATAAAGACATTTCAAATGTCATATTATGTGCAAATAGTTAAAGTACAAAAGGGAAAATAAATAAACATAAATATGGGTTGGATTCACAATTATGTTTGTTCTTATCTGGGTGCCCTTTTTTCTTGTGGCAACAGGTCACAAATCTTGCTGCTGTGATGGCACACTGTGGTATTTCACCCAATAGATATGGGAGTTTATCAAAATTGTGTTTGTTTTCTAATTCTTTGGGGGTCTGTGTAATCTGAGGGAAATATGTGTCTCTAATGTGGTCATACATTTGGCAGGAGGTTAGGAAGTGCAGCTCAGTTTCCACCTCATTTTGTGGGCAGTGTGCACATAGCTTCTCTTTCTCTCTCTTTCTCTCTCTATCGCTCTCACACTACCTCTCTTTGTCATCTTCCCCTTCCTCCTCCCAGAAAGATGCAGAGAGAGAGAGACCCATATTTATGTTTATTTATTTTCCCTTTTGTACTTTAACTATTTGCATATAATATGACATTTGAAATGTTTGTGAGTGTAATGTTTACTGTAAAACGTTTTATTGTTTATTTCACTTTTGTTTATTATCTATTTCACTTGCTTTGGCAATGTAAACATATAATTCCCATGCCAATAATGTCCTTAAATTGAAATTGAATTGAAAGAGAGAGAGAGAGAGAGAGAGCAAAGCTGAACCCCATGCCATGAGCTTTTGTTCCTCCAAAGGTCATCTGACATCCTCTTTTTCTCCCCTCCATTTTCCCTGCGTTTCCCCTCCTTTTCCCCTGCGTTTCCCCTGCGTTTCCCCTCCTTTTCCCCTGCGTTTCCCCTGCGTTTCCCCTCCTTTTCCCCTGCGTTTCCCCTCCATTTCCCCTGCGTTTCCCCTCTTCCCCAGGTAATTACTGGAACGCAGCGTCGTTCACCACGCCCTCCTCCTATCTACATTTCTCCACCTTCCAGGGAGAGACCAGCGCTGATATCGCCTTCTACTTCAAGACCAGCGCTCCCTACGGGGTGTTCCTGGAAAACCTCGGCAACACCGACTTCATACGCCTCGAACTCAAAAGTAAGTAACTGTACCTATTCTCTCTCATTTAGCACACTCTTCTGTTCTGTGGCTTCTTCCTCTGTTTTTACACTCCTTTCGTTGGTCTCTCTGGCTTGTTCTCGCTCTCATCTTTTTCAATTTCTCCCCTTTTTTCCCTCTTCCACCCTCCTCCCTTTCTTGCACTGTGAAAACAAAGTCTGATATTTCTGTTCAGACTTTTAAAAAATCCCTGACTGCTTCCCTCTCAGTTCTCTATATGGCTCTAAAGCGATGATTGACATTTCATGTGCTTTATGCGACTATACTCCAATGACTCAAATAAAAAAAAATAATGGGCATTCAACTGTATTCAGATTGAGAATGCTAAATTCCAGGGGATTACATTTAGCCACGGTTCTTTAATGACGAGATGGCTATTTAACCATACTGCTCTAAAAAAGGCAAAACACAGTAATTTGTTTTGCTGAAAAATCTGACTTCAAAGTATTTTTCTGTCTCGACAGACAGCAATTTCTGATACTCCATTGTATATTTTGATCAACTGGCTTGTTCTTGTGTCAGGAAAGTAAATACCACATTAATCAGATAATATACCTGGCCGTTACAACAGATAAAATATTTTTTACCAAATTCGTGTTTACTGCGTTTTGCCTTTGTAGGGCAGCATAGTGGCTGTCAATTTGATGATGGATGACAAATTACATTTCAGCAGATTTCAAAGAGCTTTAGGTTTAATGGGGGTAATTCACCTCATCCACTCACAATTTTGTGGCAGAGTGTTTAGTAGTGATGAATAACCTTGGGGGGAAAACGTCAGACATCTTGGCTTTACTACTTAGGACACACACACCTCCTCCTCCAGCTCCCATGTCTTTCTCTCCCCCCCTCTCTCTCCCCCCCTCTCTCTCTCCATCTCTCTCTCTCTCCATCTCTCTCTCTCCATCTCTCTCTCTCGCTCCATCTCTCTCTCTCCCCCTCTCTCTCTCTCTCCATCTTTCTCCCCCCCTCTCTCTCTCTCTCTCTCTCTCTTCATATTTCTCCCCCTCTCTCTCTCTCTCCCCCTCTCACTCTCCATTTATCTCCCCCTCTCTCTTTCTCTCCATCTTTCTCCCCCCCCACCCCCCCTCTCTCTCTCTCTCTCTTCATCTTTCTCCCCCTCTCTCTCGCTCTCTCCCCATCTATCTCCCCCTCTCACTCTCTCTCTCCATCTTTCTCTCTGAGAAGAGGTTGTTGAATATTCATGTCTGAGTCGTGAATGAGCTTTAATTTTGTTGGAGGAGAAATAATGTATTTCTTTGCTCGTTCTGCCGCTCTCATCTTTCAAAACACTCTGAAGGGTGGTGTGTGTCTGTGTTCTTCTTTCTTTTGTTAAGAGAAGGAGAGATGAGGCGGAGGATGGGATGGAGGGATGGAGGGAGAGAAAGAAAGAAGAGGGAGATTAGTTGGAGTTTCACCAAGTCGTGCTCAGGCCTTCATTACAATAGATTAGTTAGTGTGTTTTCACACTGGGGCTTTAGGCTCTATGTTTGACTGTTTTACTCAGCTAACAGAGGCTAAACTGACCCACTGTTGTTTCTGGAGGGAGAGAAAACGGAGGATGAAGTAGAAAAAAGTGGACATAAAGGAGGGCAATAAAAGTGGGGGTGATCCGTGTGTGATTGATAGGGTGGCCAGGTGAGAGGGCAGAAGGGAGACTAACACATATCCTTTAGCCAGTAACATCTGGACTGAACAGGTGGCTAGTGGCAAGCTTATACACACACATCTCTACAGACACCTCTACATACATACACACACATCTCTACAGACACCTCTACATACATACATACACATCTCTACAGACACCTCTACATACACACATCTCTACAGACACCTCTACATACATACACATCTGTACAGACACCTCTACATACATACACACATCTCTACAGACACCTCTACATACACACACATCTTTACAGACACACACATCTGTACAGACACCTCTACATACACACACATCTCTACATACACACACATCTGTACAGACACCTCTACATACACACACATCTCTACATACACACACATCTGTACAGACACCTCTACATACACACACATCTCTACATACACACACATCTGTACAGACATCTCTACATACATACACACACATCTCTACAGACACCTCTACATACACACACATATCTACATACACACACATCTCTACAGACACCTCTACATACACACACATCTCTACAGACACCTCTACATACATACATACACACATCTCTACAGACACCTCTACATACATACATACACACATCTCTACAGACACCTCTACATAAACACACAAACATCTCTACAGACACCTCTACATACACATCTCTACAGACACCTCTACATACACACACACACATCTCTAAAGACACCTCTACATACTTACACATCTCTACAGACACCTCTACATACACACACATCTGTACAGACACCTCTATATACATACACACACATCTCTACAGATACCTCTACATACATACACATCTCTACAGACACCTCTACATACACCACACATCTCTACAGACAACCTCTACATACACACACATCTCTACAGACACCTCTACATACATACATACACACATCTCTACAGACACCTCTACATACATACACACACATCTCTACAGACACATCTACATACATACACACACACATCTCTACAGACACTACATCATCTACATCTTACAGACACCTCTACATACACATACACACATCTCTACAGACACCTCTACATAACACACACACACACATCTCTAAGACACCTCTACATACTACACAAATCTCTAACAGACACCCTCTACATACACACACATCTGTACAGACACCTCTACATACACATACACACATCTCTACAGAACCTACTACATACACACACATCTCTACAGACACCTCCTACAACACACACATCTCTACAGACACCTCTACATACATACACACACAATCTCTACAGACACCTCTACATACATACATACACACATCTCTACAGACACCTCTACATACACAACACACATCTCTACAGACACCTCTACATACATACCAACACACATCTCTATAAAACACCTCTACATACATACATACACACATCTCTACAGACACCTCTACATACCATACACCAATCTCTACAGACTCTACAGACAAACCTCTACATACAACACACCACCACATCCTCTAAAGACACTCTACATACTTACACATCTCTACAGACACCTCTACATACACACACATCTGTACAGACACCTCTACATACATACCACACATCTCCTAAACAGATTACCTTACATACATACACATCTCTACAGACACCTCTACATACACACACATCTCTACGACACCTCTACATACACACACATCTCTACAGACACCTCTACATACATACATACACACATCTCTACAGACACCTCTACATACATACACACACACATCTCTACAGACACATCTAACATACATACACACACACATCTCTACAGACACACTCTACATACATACATACACACATCTCTACAGACCACCTCTACATACACATACACACATCTCTACAGGAACAACCCTCATACATCACACACACACATCTCTACAGAAACCTCTACATACATACACACACATCTCTACAGACACCTCTAACATACACACACATCTCTACAGACACCTCTACATACACATACACACATCTCTACAGACACCCTCTACATACAACACACATCTCTACGACACCTCTACATACATACACACACATCTCTACAGACACCTCTACATACATACACACACACATCTCTACAGACACCTCTACATACATACACACACATCTCTACAGACACCTCTACATACACATACACACATCTCAACAGACCCTCTACAGAACATACACACGACATCTCTATAGACAACCTCTACATACACATACACCACATCTCTACAGACACCTCTACATACATACACACACATCTCTACAGACACCTCTACATACATACACCACACACACACACATCCTCTACAGACACCTCTACATCACACACATCTCTACCAGACACCTCTACATACATACACACATCTCTACAGACACCTCTACATACATACACACACATCTCTACAGACACCTTTACATACACACACCACATCTCTACAGACACCTCTACATACATACACACACATCTCTAACAGACACCTCTACATACATACATACACAACACATCTCGACAGAACACCTCTAACATACACTACATACACACAATCTCTACAAAATACCCTACAATACATACAAATAACACACACCACCACATCTCTACAAGACACCTCTACATACACAGCACCATCTTACTTACAGACACCTCTACATACACACAGCAATCTCTACTACCGACACCTCCTACATACACACACACACATCTCTCGATAGACACCCTCTACAATACATACACACCACATCCTCTACAGACACCCTTCTAACAGACACACATCATCTCCTAAGACAAACCTCTACATACACACAACAACATCTCCTATAGACACCTCTACAACATACACAGACATCTCTACAGATACATCTACTACACACCACACACATCTCTACAGACAACCTCTACATAACACCACACACACAGCTCTACAAGATACCTCTACATACATAACAACAACACATTTCTACAGACAAACCTCTACATACATACACACACATCTCTACAGACACCTCTACATACACACCACATCTCTAACAGTCACCTCTACATCATACATACATACACACATCTCTACAGACACCTCTACAACACACACATCTCTACAGACACCCCTCTACATACCATTACAGTACACCACACTACACACGACACTCTACATACAACACACACTCTCTACAGACACCTCTCACCTACATACACACACATCTCTAAGACAACCTCTACATACATACACACACATCTCTACAGATACCTCTACACACACACACCACTCTACAACACCTCTACATACATACACATCTCTACAGACA